CTCTGTCTGGGGTGGAGAAGTACATCCCAGACAGATCTCTCGTAGGAATACCTGTATCTAACATAGAGTCACCTGTATAAGTAAACAAAAGGAATCACAAAGATAACGGATTTATATGTCTTCAATAGAATTGTCAATAATAATACTGAGGTACTGTAAATCACTTTTTATTCGCGAGAACTTTATTTTTGCGAAATTAAGCGAGACAGCGTGCTCGTGAAAAAAAGTAATCGCGTATAATAGTATTTCTTAAGATTATATAAAGCAATAACCACAATTTGTGAATATTTTGTTGCGCTTATCAAGAGTCAATGACTCGCGCAAATAAGGTGTCTCGAAAAATTAGTGATCTACAGTACTTCTAGATAGATTGACTTAGGTGCTTGAAAAGCGATAATGTTTATTTAGTTCAGACCTAGAATCAACAGTGTCTATAATGCTGGCTCCTGCAGAATAAGAGAAAATATATAACAGAGATAATTATTATTTATTATTAATTAACATCACATTGATCTTAATACTGAAGTAGGTCTGAGATATACAGTTTAAAGTTTAGTTCCCTGTGAAGAGAGATTGAAAAATACAAGTCAACAAAACACTGTGCAATTCACAAAGCATCTTCTTTAGTGTAACAATAAACCACAGGCGTATTACACATTTAAAGCATGGCGTGGGGGGGGGGGTTAAGGTCACCAAAAATTTCAGAAAACATGAATAAATAAAATATTCATATATGTCGGAGACCGTGCTTTTAAAATTGTATAAAATACAATACATAGTAACTCATTCATAATTATAACGATATCAGATATGGTGTACCTGCAAATATTCAAAAATATTAGACTTTCATTAAATAAAGCATAGGTTTTGTTAATATGAAAAGCGTTGGGGTGTTTTGAATATGGATTATTTAACTTTTTTATTCCAATGAATTTCCGATCATTAGCTCACCTGAGCCGAAGTGAGCATTTCTGATCACATTTTGTCCGTCGTCCGTCCGTCCGTCCGTCCGTCTGTGTGTCCGCCTGTAAGCTTTTCATATTTTCGTCATCTTCTTAAGAATCACTGGGCAAATTTTGAACAAACTTGGTACAAAGCATTCCTGGGTGAAGGGGAATTTAAATTGTTAAAAAAGGGCCAAATCCCCTCACAAGGGGAGATTTTCAAGAAAAGATAAAAATGGGATTGGGTCATTAAAAAATCTTCCTCTCCAGAACCACTGGGCCAGAAAAGTTGAAACTTATTTGGAAGCATCCTAGGGTAGTGTAGATTGTAAATTGTTCAAATCATGACCCCTGGGGGTTAGGGCGGGGCCACAATGCGGAATCAAAATTTTACATAGAAATATATAGGAAAATCTTGAAAAATCTTCTTCTCTAGAACCACTGGGCCAGAAAAACTGAAACTTATGTGCACATGGAAGCATCCTGGGGTAGTGTACATTTCAAAATGTCTTATTTATGATTATTGGGGTAGGGTGAGGTTGCAATATGTATTAAAAGGGGGAAATCTGGTAAAGAACAGACTGGTAAAAGCTTCTCAGGTGAGCGATGTGGCCCATGGGCCTCTTGTTTTTTATCATTAAATTCCCATAAACTCTTCAGCATTTAAGATTAATTACGTTCTGTTAACTTCCTATTCCATTGTATTTATAATGTGAATTATTGAAGATTAGACTAGATTTTCATTTAATAGAGAAAAGGTATAGTAAACGTGAAACATGTTGCGGTGTTTTGAATTTGTTTTTTTTTTATTTGAATATGTTTTCGAACAAAAAGAATATTTTTAACATCAAAATTTTGTGGATATGTTGACATAATAGATCATTAAAATTTTGTACACTTCTTTCATCGTAGTGGTTTAAGTGAATTATAATAAATTATCAGGAAACCCTAGCTGAATAACAATGGTTGAGCGAATGTAATTACTGGATTTAATTGTTTAAAATAATTTCATTATTTTCCTTGTACATAAAATATATAATTTTAAATTCTAGGTACTTGAAAATAATCAATTCAGTGCCTGCTGAATACGTGAAATGTACCTGCAAATAATATTCTGATATATTAAAATGTTTAATTATCATGGAATTAAAAAACGTATAAAGGATATTAAAAAAACCCGTATCTTTCTCTTTTTATCAACTTAATAATATTTCAATACAGAAAAGTATTATCATGATAATATACGTAATTTGAACCTATTTTTTAGAACTTAACGTGGATACACTTACCTAAAGTTCCCGTGGCAGGTCCTGCAAGAAAGAGTTGATATTTTTCCAGCCTCGTTGGAGACAGAAAATTTGTCGTACATTTCATAAAACGTTGTACCATTCTGGAGAATGATGGACACATGAAGGGATGAGGAGTTTTCTTTAGTTAACTAATGGATCACGTCATTTCCTGTATTAAGATATATTTGAAATCATCTGAAAAGTTCATCGAATACAAGTAACTCTTTTAAAAATATGAATCTATCGTAATGAAAAATCCAATTATTTTCCATAGCTGTAGCAATAATGCTACATTTGGTCTCATTAGGATATGCTGCTAGATGATAGCCTTCTTTTCTATTTTTTTTAAAAATTATTTGAGATATCAATTACACATTATCTACATGTAGTCTTATATTTATATCTTTATTATGCTTTTTAATTTTTTATCTGCCACAAAAATTCTTTTATCTAGAGACTTTGGAGGAATAAAATTTCTTATTAATGCGATTTACACTTACCAATCCAGACATTCTGTTCTGGTGAACCAACTCCATTCTTATAGTCCGTCCAGTTCCTGTCAAAGCTCACAGATCCGTCTACGCGTTTCTGAATGGCCTTTGAAAATTAACATGCATAACAATTAAATTAATAACTTCAAATATTCATAGGATCCATGTGTTATGATATAAACTACAATACAATCCTACAATCCTTAAAATCACCAAAACAATGTGAGTTATATTATGAACTTTTAATTTCAGATTAAACAACTTACCGTCCATCCCCCGCCCATTGTGGTCAAATCGCAGTAAACATTTATTGGAGTGGTTAATGTACTGTAGGGGTATATATCATACACCCCTGTGGTTTGTCCGTTTTCTCGGAGATCCTTGCAATCTTTGGGCATGCTAGAAAAATCTAAAAAAAAAAAAAAAGAATACCAAAATCATGCAATGTATATGTACAAGAAGTGAGAGGACAATATATAATGCCTGCATGATACATAAATGTTAATTAGTGAAGCTAAAATGTTAACTACATTTACAATGTGTATTATGTTAAACTGTTCCTCATTATCTAAAAGCATTCTTGTTGCAGCCCGGAGGACCGGGCTGCTCTATACATATAAGTTTACATGTTGGTGTATGAAAATTAAGGTTGGAGAAGTTATTCAGAATTAAAGGTTTTCTGAACATTAGAAAGATTGTTAATTGGAATGTTCTTTCCCTTTATAAATTACGAGATACATAATACATTTACTTCCAGAAAGTGAATTTGTAAAAATACGAGGGTTGATCCAAAAGTAATGTCACAACATTGATAAAATTTCTATAAATCGATGTAAAGCAACAAAATTATATATGATGAAAACTTTATTTATTTCAAATCAGACCTGAAAAATTCAAAGGAATTTGATGTATACTTTTCAAAATATCGGATTTTGAGCAATGCGCGTTTATGGTAGTCGCCGCACCTAAATATAAATATAACGTCATATGACGGATACACACCGTCATACTTTTCAGCGTTTCCCCTTCGTTTAATTCAAAAATATTTGTGATTCGCAAACACTTTGACCAATTCCACTTCCTGTAAGGATTATTGGTACCATAATACACTAAATCTGTTCATAATTAAGCCCTCTGTCATTTTTTTTTTTGAATAGTAGCATAAGACAAACTTAAAAATTCACATGTCACTCTGTACGTCTGTCTTTTTTGACAACGTCACACAACATTGAACGTTTCCGTCCGATATCCAATCTTTCGGCCTTCTTGATCTCTGCTAATCATTCAGTGACCAATCACCCGCCCAAAATTGCTGAAACCATCTATTAAGATGTCTCTTATTTACATTCTTTATTCTGTAAGTCAAATTGATTAACAAAAATGTCGCTAGTGTTGATTCCCATATTTTGAAGCAAAAAATGCATTACAACTCGTCGAGCCTTTTTTTCCCATTTCGACAATCCCTTTGTTCCATTCAACAGAGTAAAACAACAATGTTTATGACCACAAATACCAATGCCTTCATTTAATTTTCAATTAAAGACTAGAAAATGACGAGAATTACATCTTGAAAAGAAATTGGGAGATTAGGTGCTTCTTTAGAATCGTTTAATGTGTTTGTCTTTCTCATTCTAAGAAAAACTACACTTTAAAACGTGACGTTCCGTTGTGACGCGGCGACACCCCCTATGTTCTATGATTTAAACATCTATAAAATAAATTCAATTAAACATTATTTAATTAAAATTTCAATGTTAATTAGATTTATATTTGTGCATCTTTTGGTATATTGTATTTGATAATATGACGCCAAATATAAAAGATATGGACACTGTGACATTACTTTTGGATCTACCCTCGTATATATGTTTTTGATATTATATATATTATATAAATTTGCTTCTCATTTACTATTGAAAAAACGACAGGTCCCTTTCTTAGAACATTGGATTTTACTAATCGCATAAAAACGTACTCTACACAGTTCGTGTTTTATAATCTTAAAGTGAAATACATTTTTGAAAATAGGTGATGCATGAGTCTAGTTTCAAATGGTATTTTATGCAGTCAACATTACTTGAAGAATTGGTTAAGTTTAAAATTGGTTTCGTGCTGTTCGATTTTCATCCGACTATAAGTTTTCAGAATATTCTCGACTATCGTCTCCATAATTTAGACGCATGCCTTTTTCACACATATAAAGCGGTTTGATGTTCAAAGACTCATTTCCATTGTTTGCTTTATTTATTTCCCGGGCGACAATTGATGGTTACATCAATGATTTCTTGTTTTCCAATTGATACAAATCTTTGATTTATAACATGAAGTAAAGTATTTAATATTAAACACAATTATTTTCAATACTCTATTGACAAACAAATGTGAAAGAGGAATGGAGTGTAGATATAATAAACAATTTTGACGCTGAAATAGATGTTAAAAAAGTTAGAAAAATCATGATATCTTTTTGATGTATTATATTATGTCTGACCGATCGTCAGGGGTTGTTTAATTCTCCGTGGCACAGGCTAGCTGTTTTCAGGATTCACATCTCAGCTTTCAGAACGGCTGTTATTAAACAGAGCAATTTCAAGATAAGAGATAAAGTGAGATTTTTGTCGCGTATTCAGTTAATAAAAAGCTACAATTTTCTGATGGTGTGGACTGATCATTGTCACAAATCTTAAATGAATATTTTTAAATATTCAAGGTGTAGAAATTTTATCTTATGTTTTCCATTACATGATAAGAGATATTAAGAAAAGAGAAAATAGAAAATCACAAAGTATAATTCAATAAATTTCAAATTAAAAAATAATTCAAAATTAAACTAAAATATAAAAGAAAAAAATCAGCAAAGAGATGAGTATGTCACTAGAATCAATTATGTTAAAAAAGAACAATTGTTTATACTACATAAAAAGAAGTGTCATAGAAAAAAAACTCGTCTCGTCGAGAGGGATTTAAAGCAAACCAAAGACGCAAACAGAGAGATAAATAAAAACAGCCAGTATACATACCGATACCAGAGTAGTGTCTCCAACCGGCTTCATCAGAGATCCCAGACCTTAATACTTTCTTATGGGTACGACATTTCTTCATGTGAGAGTTGATACCAAAGAAGACGCACTCCCTTTGACACATTGCGGCACAATAGGTCAATGAATGGGAACTATGTTCTCCTAAAAGTTCGTTATTTGATTTCTTACCGTTAAATTCATGTTTCGCCGTAAAAGTTTGAGATATAATGGTAGCTTCGGATAAAAATAAGAAGGCAACAACTAAAGAGAAAACACACTGATTGCTCATTTTTATCTTTCTTTTTTTAAAGAAAAAAAGTAATTAATGCGTTCTTTCGAAATTTTGCTAAATTGTCATTCAACCTCAAAATAAATATACCCTAACCTTAATCAATGACTGAAATTCATTGGCTAACTGTTACTAACTATGTATTTTAAAACTGTTTAAGTATCGATTTTATTTTTAAGATGAATAGTCATAAATGTTAGCATTGCAATTGCAATTTCAAATACTACATTCAAAATTTTGCTGTTGATCACATACTTATTCCTCTAATGTAAGGCCATTTCTGACTTTTTTAGTAAGTTTTCTTTAGATAATATCGATTTTTTTTTTACTTTCCTTTTTTCAATTATCTGATCCTCAGAATATATTAAGATTTTATTTTATGTATTAACCTTTTTATGTCAATGAAAAACGATACATCTTCATTGGTTTATTTAAACAATAAAACGCTTTCATTGGTTGTTAGTAAGGGAATGAATGTCGCAGCTGTTGTAATAAAAAAATACATAACCAGTTTTATGATAAAAGTTCTAAATAAAGGGTACAAAATACTTATTTTTAAAAAAGGGGATCATGGTAGATAGATTAGATTGAAACCTCGTTAGGGAATTCATACTCATTATTTTAACAGTAAATTCCACATAAAAACAGACCTCTTTGTGGAGTTGTTTTCAAAATTATTCTGTATCAGTCTAAAAATCACTAACATGTAAATTATATACTTTAAGGAAAATCATGAAATCCCGTGTTAAAGTACTTTGCCCTTAATACAGCTATAATCTAGGCATGAATATAGATTTGGAAAACCTACCCCGGGTTTTCAGAATTATGCTGTATCAGTTTAAAAATCTCTAACATGTGAATTATATGTGAATTATATACTTAAAGGAAAATCACGAAGTCCCTTCCTCAGAAATCAAGAAACTATTTTACAATGCCATTTTACTACCTTCTAAAAGATAATAGTCTTAGTATCCGGAATAAGGTTCTAGCAATATGTACTTACGAAAGTTCAGAAAAAGGGATCGCTAGAATTATCTTTGCTGCAACCCCCGATGTTCCATCAAAATTATTAATTGAATAATGAGATTTATCTTTTTTGTCTAGTAACTTTGCAGAAATATGACTAGTACATTTGTTTCTTTACAATGAGAATCCTGCAAACGTGCAAGAGTTTTATGTTTATTAAAACTTCTAATATTTATTTTGATCTTCGCCTATCAAAAGACACAACTTTTTCCCCAATATATTTCGGGGTTCATAATTATAAATTTTGCCCTTTAATGAATTATTTGGATTTAGCGAACAATATTCAAGCTTTATAGTCATTCAAACAATACAAATCAGGAATAGAACAGACAAGGACCTTTAAAACTTCAGAGATTGGATCAGGTGCCATAGAGGAGTACGTATCTCCTGCTGACTGGTCCAACCTGACCTCTACTCCTTGTCAGGATTGGTATGTAACTGAAAACTCCGTAAACAGATCAATGTGTAAATAATCGTTTTTAGCGGACGTTTAGTTTTAAAAGTCAGCCAATAATTGAATAAATAAAAGATTTTATTTGCTGTCAAAGTCAATGTATCGACCAAAGAGAGAGGCCCGGTGGAATATTTACTGGAACCCGCTTAAAAAGTGACTTATGATTTTTAAGAACTTCCACCTTAGAAAGGGAGCAAAGGGTACATGTTAGATAACTGTTTGCAAAATTGAATTTAACTGCTTTTAATATACACGTCAAATAATCAGCCTTAAAGAAATGAAGATTTTTTGTCAGCTCAGACAAGTACAAACAGATTGTTTAATGCACATTATTTTCAGCCGGGCTTATTGCTCAAAGAGCAATTGCCGGCTTATGTGATCCTGTTCAAGGCAGGATGTTGACCCCATAGTCGCCATTTTAAAGTTACGTGCAAAAATATAGTTCTTACTCTCAACCGCTTTTGAGATAATACAAACGCTAAATAAAGCAACAAAAATAAAACGAAGTTTTATCTATATAAAATAAACATTAGTAGTAATGACTTTGAAAACTTCATAAGTCAAAGAACATAGTTCATTAGCGTTAGGATTTTTGATGATCAGTGTTACCGTAGTTCTCTACACAAGTGACATACGAGGTAAAGCAGGAGAGGGAACCAGACTGGCCTGTTTGTTTACATTCAGCTGGGGTACCAGATTAATTCTGATTCTGACAAAATCGGACCGTGGCATTAGGATTGAAAAACTCACTGTCAGTGTCTTATCATTTATATTGATAGTTTTAAAATAATTTTTTCATCAGAATATAAACGCAATTCATGTAAGAAATTCATTCTACTCTGTAAATGAGCCCGGCTCTCTGTACTTCTGAGTACTTTGATTTTTTACTTCTGAGTTATTGATAACCGAAGAATAATTAGAATTTATATTGCCCCTCAATCGCTTAGTGTGAGATTTTAATATCCATGTGAAACATTTGGTAAATTCTGACCATTATATTAAATTGAAAGATCAGAAATCTCTAAATGTTGACACTTTTAAAATAAGGGAACATATTGTTTATAGTTTGTCTTGCTTAGTTTGTCTTACTTATTATAGATAGAGCAAGAGTGGGACTCACATTCTATTAAACATCCACGATATTTTTTTTTTACAAACAGCTTAAACCATGTAAAAACCTGCATCTATGTTCCTAATTGTTGTGACTTGACGTTTGCATCCCTGCAAAAAATTGTTTATTTATCCTGAAATTTACCTCAATGAAGAAGTAAACACTATATTGATGTGTTTCATAAATATGTCATACCGGTATCATTAGATTCATTTTGGCCGGTGTGTTTTATTCTAATTTTTTAGGTTGTTAGTTTTGCTAATTTTTATACTGAATTTGACTAGATGGGATGTTCTGCCCACATGAACAATATATATAGGGTTCACTGTATATACACTAGGATTTTTTTCATGCTCTATCATACTTTTGTAGTTATTTATGGATGCTATGGATTTTAAAAGTATTGTCAAAAAATGAATTGTCATGCTTGAAGATAACTGAAATCATGTACTGATCAAAATGTAGATACATACACTGGATGTTAGGTTTATTTCTATATATTACTCTTGAAAAGGACAAAAATGAAACCAAAATATAAATATAGAGATACTAATAAATACCGCAAACCAACTTCTAATCAAAAAAAAATGTTAAAACTCTGAAGTGGGATCAATATTCAACAGGATCAAATTTCTACTTGTTGAGGTCATCATGTATAAAAAAAAAAACAAACTGTCGAAAAATGACCCCGGGTATAAATTCAACGACTTTTGCTCTCAATTTTCAACAGAGAAAAAACATCCCAGTTCAAAATTCAATGTTTAAAATGACCCCGGGTCAATTCTCATCTCGGGTCAATATTCAACTTTACACCGGTGTCTTGGAGGAGTAAGCATCCCCTGCCAAACGGTGAAACCTGCCGTGTGTTGCTTGTCATAATCAGGAAATTACTCAAAATTCCGTAGTGTAATGTGCAATTGATTGCCTTAAGCTAACAATAAGTTGTAAATAACGTACCTCGTTTTATAAACTGTTCATACGCAGAACATGCTTTTGCACATCAAATCAACTGCCCCCATATGTTGAGGATTTAAAAGTAAAGTCATTATATTAACCATGGTTATAGATTACACTTTACGTCTTTTTCTAGTAAAATACCAATACGTAGATCAAATATGTCAGACTCAGTTTTATCTTTTATTTCAAGCCCATTTCAATATATTTAATCTGCAAATGAATTGAAATAGCTATTATTTATTCCTTCTCATGTTAAGTTTTTGATTTCAATTCTGCTTTATACATTTTTTCTGAATACAAAAATAAATCTACTTGTAACGGGGCCTAATTGGTATCTATGAAAATTTAGACAGACTGTTTTAAGACCTGGTCTTCAAAACCACAGATAATCTGAACAGCACCATTTGAAAGTCAACTTGAGGGTAAATCTAAACAGAATAATGTTGCAAGTTAACAGTGAAGCAAAGCAAATGTACGAGTTTCGTTTTTATCGAAAAAGCAGCAGCCAATTATATGAAATTCCAGGTCTTTAATTAATCGTGGGGATTGGTTGTAAAAAAAGTTGAAAAGTGTAACGTTTTGATGTTATTTATTTGGAAAAAATGTAATTTCAAAATTTCTTAAAGTTTGATAAATTTCTATCGATCCACATCCGCTTCTCACCACTTTATAAATATTTTCAGTACTCTTAAAGTATCTGTTTCACTACTAATTTTTTAGTTAGGAGTAAAGAAAGAACACGGCGGAACATTTAAATGAACCCGCTAGATTTTTTTATGTTTTTTTTTTTTTTTTTTTTTTTAATTTTTTTTTTGAAGTTGAGATATCCAGGATAGGTAGAAATTGCAAGTTAGTATAAAAAAATTTAAAAACAAAGACATACTATTTCTAGGAATATCCATAGCATGAAAGAATTTAGAGGCATAAGTTTGAATACCATTTTCAGAATCAAATTCCATTCTTCTTACATAAAATGAAAATATTCAGCCTTATCAACAAAGGGAATGCAGTTCATGCTCGGACTTATGCAAAGAAATGCTTCTAATTCTTTTTTTCGCAGGGAGAATAAGGAAGCATACAAAATATTCCACCTTGACTACATTATGACGTCATAGTAGGCGAGATGACGTCAATTTTAAAACACAAGTTTTTGTAATATTGGTATTTAGAGATGTAAGTTTACTCTAGAAAATGAATAGACACATGTAAACATTAACAAAAATAAAATGCTGTTATTTTGTAATACTGTATTCTGTCATTTTGATCAAAATCTACCACCGATGACGTCATATGTGTACATCAAGTAACTTGGGGATTGATCTTGCCGTGTACAGAGAATTTGGCTAATACGGCATGTACAAAGATACGTAAAATGGAGTTTAACAGCAAATATTGTTAATATTTTGTGATATTCATATGGAGTTCAGTTAATAACACAGGTTTGCTAATTTATTTTCATCGATTTTATTCTCTTTCGAAGACAGTCAGCTATATACGTATCCCGGTCGGCCTTTCTTCTGTCATTTGTGACAAAAATAATGCAACAGAACAACAATAAGCTGAATATTTCAAAACATAAAATTTGTACATATGGAAATTTGTCTCCTAAAATAGTTGAAAAGTACTGATAGAATCCCGAGTTAAGCATGGTTTTATGAAAAATCAGGGTTCATATGTAAAAAAAATCAAAACATCGGGTAAGGTTTTGTGCAAATTTGTGGAATAATTATTTTACTAACGGGACAGTTGGATTCTAGCAGTACTTTTTAGGCAAAATAGATTTTTTTCAATAACATTTTTTACTCAAAGAAATGATCAAACTCCGGGGTATTGTTGTTCTGTTAGCTTTTTTATTAAGGAAAATTTCACCATAAATAAAAGTCACGTGATGCCGTGGTGGTGGTGCACGTCATTGCTTTAGACACTCTTTTATCTTTATGCATTAGATAATACGCAGTACAGTTAAGGCAACATTTTCTGTAAAAAGTCACCGAAAATGATACACTTAATGTTAAATTGTTTAATTTTCGGCAAGACATTCTAATTAAAATAGCTTTATGTTATCTTAAAGAGTATGTCCATCGCTATTCACATCGGTATTTTTTGTCATCATGTGACCCTCTTAAGTCACGTGGGCTCCGATTTTAGGTCAACAAATGAATTGTCAAATTTATCCAAAAAGTTCAAGGGCAAGGCAAACAAAAAAATAACTGCACAGTGTTTTAAACTGTCGCTATGTATCTATACTTTTGCAAAAACAATGCTCATTCAGTTAGTTTTCCGATATATTTAAGTTATTCAGCTAAAACAGACAGTAGCATATGAAAAATAGGGTATTTTCTTAATTTCATAGATAATTATAAATTACCTAAAGGATAACAAAGAAATGAGCATCACTTTTTGAAAACTATACAGTAAAACGAATAATTTCAAACATAAACCTACTATTTAGATTGTCGCCTTGCCCTTGAACCTTTTGATTAAAAACTGACATTTTGGTACAGTCAATCTAAATAAAGATTTCAAACGCATCGCCGACCCAGCATGTGAGATAATTCTTTAGTACTTGATGTAGTTTGTTTACCTCATAGATTTTAAATAAATAAAAAAAATAAACTTGCGAACTGCCCTGGGATTTTTTACTAAATTAAACGGTATACATAAAACATCCTGAACATTTGTTCCTTCTATTTTGTGACTTCGTTCTCTATACAATATATGAATGATGTATGCTAAAAGACGTCTTTCAGACCTTCCGCATTTCCTCAAATATGTGTCAACACACAATATCATGCAGCTACACGTAGTGTAAATTTGCTGCAGCATATAATCCAAAACGCCGATTGTTAACAAAAATGGAATTATTCAATTATAATTTTAAATAGTCAATTGATAGGCTCCATCAATGCAACATTTAATTCGATAACTATACAACTCTCTCACTACTGTACATACACTTGTGTACACATAAGAACATGTTTTGGTTTTGTTTCATTTTATTTTTGCATACGAGATTGTATCATGATGGCTTTCACTTAAACCTTCAACTCCTAATGAATTTAAGTTGTACGTTTTAAGAACTAAGTGGATAGCATTAATATTCCTGTATTTGGTAAGAAGACTACCATTTCATTCCGAAAGAGGAGGGGAGGGGGGCAATTCTCGAAAATGTTGAAAATACATATGTCCCGGACTGGATAAGAAGTAAATAATCTGCCCCAGACCAGCGCTCACCTCTTATGAATTAGAGGTTTTTTTTTTTTTTGTTTTTTTTTTTTTTTTTGCTTGCCAGACATTTTTTCAGTGAAGAGGAAAATAAATAATCTGTCCTTCATCTTATTGGAAATAAATATTATTTTCAAAAAAATGACTTGGGAAAACATGCCAACCACCCCTCTCCTTCAGAATAAAATGGTGGTCCCCTTACATGTACCTGTTTTGAATCAGTTCCTTTTATAGAAAAACAAATTAACACTATGTACATGCTGGAAATAATATCTTGATCGAGATTGACACCCACCACACAAAACATATGCAAGTTGAGATTTCCAAATCTTAATAGCCTTTTCAATAATTATACAGTATAAGTAAATGTATGAAAAAGTCAAAGCATAATTTATTGATCAAGAAAATTTATTTCATAAACAGCTTTTCAAATTCATAGGTAGACTTTATAAGGAATACTGAGCAGGTGCAAATTATTTCCATCACTTCATGTTCTTGTGGATGAAGTCAATTCTGAAAATACAAGTATGAGAAAGTCAGGATATACATGTATACATACCATTATTGAGAGTAAATTGGTGTTTAAAATTAAATTTAATTCAAAACAATGTATTAAAACATGGAGCATTGAATGCATGATTAATTGAAGAATAAATTAAATGCAATTTTACTGCTATATTTTATGATTTTGCCAGGAATATTGCTTGGTTTATAATAGCTAATATCATGGAGCATACCATTTTCAGTAAATGATGGATTAACTTGCTGCCTGAATGAATTCATCGATCCAATTCTTTGGGAATAGCTGCAACACATTATAATGCTATGAGATTACTAAAATGAAATACATTGTAGAATAAAATGACATTACATACACAAAACAAATCATGATATACAAGATATTGAATAGAAACAAAGTTGTGTTACAAAACTTTTCTGGGAAATTAAAACCTCTGACATTTACTAGACAAAGTAATTAGTATATGAAAAAAAACATTCTTTCATTTTTACCAAAATGAAAAATAAATATAATCACACCTGCATGCTTAAAAATATGAAATGCTTTAGAAGTATACATACCCTGTGGAGAAATGGAACGGATTTTTATTTATTCATCCTCAAGCCTGGAACTCTTGACAGCTAGCTACAATAGTAGAAGTTTTATATATCATATAATTTAAACAAAAATAATGTATAAATTACAGAATTTCATTGACTTGACATGCAATCAAACTAAAAAAATATTTTATTTCCCCCATTAATTTAGAAATTCTATAAATTTACAAACATAGATTTAATCTGTAGGTTTTGTTTTCAACGTAATGATACAGATAATATTTTATTAATATGTTATGTAGCATGTTTGTATACTGAAAGAAAACAACCTAACATGTTCAGTAAATCATTGTCAACTCATTTACTGAAACAATGAAATTTCAAATTTAATTTAGTGTAAATCTGTATTACTGTTGTCACAGTTGATCCCCATTACTACACATAATGTCTCAAAGAATATAAGCGAATTGACAAGAACTCTGTACCGTATGTTTATGGTACAATTACATAAAAAATTCTAATATAAAAAGTGTGCAACTTTGTATGTGTATGTTGGAACTGGTGCTGGGGGGGGGGGGGGCATAATATACACACAATCGCAATACACTGCAGTAGGTTTTCACTGACTGTGATACATGTAATACGTGAAAATGATCATGTACACACTCGCTATCGGTTTTTTCCATAAAATATCTAGATATTGCAAAAACATGCGCATACATACCTGGGCTAAATGTACTGCAGAGATAGAAATAGGGAGCTGGATGATGATCGTCTCAGTCTTCCATTATCTTCCGAAATAATGTTCTCATATTCTCGTAATAGGGTTAAACAATGCCTTGTCTCTTATCTTATCCCTATTTTCTCTTAAGATTCCCGGTTATTGCATTAAAATCCACTGCATATCTCAGCTGATGTCGCCACGTTTGTAGATGTAAACAACACTCCGTGTCATCGAGTGCAAGCGTTTGGCTAAAGCCGAATGCAGCCAAGCGGCACATAAAAAGTGAATTATTTTATAGATATGCTATTCTATGTAAGAGAAAATCACTAATAAGTATTGATTTAAAAATGAAAATATTGAGGTTTGCTACAAATTCTTGCAAATATCGGTAAATAGTTATTTTGAGCTCTATTTCCTTATAAGGATTAATCAGGGCGGAGCAACTGTCATGACGTCAGACCTCATTATGACCTCATTACCATATTTTTTTCATGTGTTGCCTTAACTGTACTGCGTAATAGTTTACGTATATCTGCGGTTTTGGTAAATTATCAAACTTAATTTTCTTCAAAAAGTCTAAATTTCCTAAAAAATGACTTATATGCTTCCTTAACATACCCGCCTTCCTCTCTGTTACTGTTTATAGAAAGGATAGATGTTAAACATACTCGTCTCAATATTCGCTTATTGTGAGATCTTAACATCCATTTGAGACATTTGGTCTATTCAAAATGTGTCAAGGTCTTTTTTTATGTTTGTTCCATCGAGTGGATTATTATTCAAAAGAACAGTCATAAAAATCACACAAATGAGTTGAAAAATCGGAGTTCTCTAAGTGTTGACAGTTTCAAAGTGACTTTGTCATTTATAGTTTGTCTTCATTAGCTCGCCTTACTGATCACTAGATAGAAGAACTTTGGGACTCACATTATACCAAAGATCATCAAAAAGACATCTTTCTTTACAAACAGCATAAACTATGTAAATATTTTATTTCTATGTTTTTAATTGGTGTGCCTTGAGATACTCCTGAAAATCATTTTTTATTTATCTAAAATTACTTACCCTAACCATTTGTGGAGAAGGATCTATTTTATGTTTATTTTAGAAACTTAAAATAAAAAAAGATGAAATTGCAAAATAAGTCACGAAATGTTGGCCCCCTTAACAACAGTTATTAAACTATTCAAGAGGAAAACTACCTTTTACATAACGTTTTGAAGTAAAAAAAAAACTCAAACATTTGGTAATTCATTTTGAGAATTTTATTGACGATCCCTTTTCCCTTAAATCATTTAAATTCCTTGTGTTTTGAAATATGTATGAGAAACCTATTAAAATATGTTAGTCGGAAGATGATATGTAATACTTTGGGTTCATTTTCTTTAATATCTAGCAGACAAGGTGTCCTTAAAAACACACTTTTCCCTTCATTTAAAATGAACTCAAAATAAATTAATATATTCTCTTTGCGAAAATGATTTATTTTAGTTTACTCGTACTTAAATGGGTAATGGAAATGGAGTGAAACACTTAAATATTATTGATTGGTTCAATCGTTACATAGAAGCGTTATGACTAATTAATTGTACTGCTACATGTAATTATAGAGACATTTTTATCAAAACGAAATGCATGTTTACTGTACAGATTGAACCAACCCATTTCACAATGTATAATTGAGTTGAAGGTCACAGCAAGTATGTATTTTTTCTTGTGTGAAGTTTCAAATTTTAATTCTGCTTTAAATGAACACAAAAATAAATCTGCTTGCAACAGGGTGTAAATGGTATCTATGAAAATCCAGATAGACTGCAATAAGACCTGGTCTCCAAAATCACACATTATCTCCATCATCTTTTCAAAGTCACCTTTAGAGTAACATTGAACAGAATAATGTTGCAATGAACCAGGGAAGCAAAGTAATTGTACATGTTTGATTTTTATTGAAAAAGCAGCTGCCAATGATATAAAAATCCTGTGACGTAATAAGGGGAAATATGTGTAAGTTATGTTTAACAGCTGTATAATATTCAATGCTTAATTAAATCTCAAAAAATAAAATTTAATATCATACTGTATAATACAAAAAATGCTTTAAATTTTGAAAGAAAATAATGTACGATTAGAAAATATATGCATGCATTGCGATCTACAATGTATCCCTATTGTCTGAGCACATGGAGCAGTGAGGCGAGGGTGCATTCTCTGATCGATGTAGAGAACTTTACACATGGCGATAGAAATCAAAACATTTTTAAAACCCAAATTAATAAATGAAAATATGCAGAGAGAATTAATAATGATTACAGAATGAAGTATTTGTATTTTTTATAATAATTGCGAAATTATTTGTTTGACCCGCAAGATTATGAAGATATCGGAAACCAAGAACCAGTAGTTTTAAGAACGTAAATGTATCACACAGTCCATGTACACAAATCCAGGTATATCAATATATGTATCAAGCAAGCTGTTTGAATAACACACATAAAGAACTGCAAGAATATTGAAAGAAAAAATATGATTTTAAGAAATAGTTTATTTGTTTGAGTGTCTTATATTTTTTTTCATCGCGGGGGAGGGGGGGGGGTTCAGAGGAATTTGATTTTGCACACTTCTTTCACGGCATTTTGTCAGTCTCTCACCAGATGGCGTATAACGGCGAATAATAGTAAACAAATAATAGGTAACACTTTGTTGAAGTTTCCGTTGTCGATAAGTAGCGCCTTATGAATGTTTTTGGTGTCGTTTAAAATTGTGTAAGATAGTTGGCTACATGCCATTCAGCGATTACCGAGTACGCAAACCGCTGAAAAATGAACATTTTTTTTTTAAAACATGTTTTACTGTGTGCCAATTGGGGCGAGCGAAGCTTTGTATTTAAAAAAAAACTATAAATAAGTTACACTTGCACTGCATATCCTCAGTTCAATAAAGAAAGAGAGTAAATAAGAAGAAAGCACAGCAATAAAAAGAATCACATCCCATGCATCGGAATCGACATTCAAAGCTTCGGAACATTCCGACAAAACAGATTTACCCGAGCTGTTTGAGTGATGATTGATTGATTGTATATTGTTAAACGTCCCTCTCCAGAATATTTCACTGATTTGGAGACGTCACCATTGCCGATGAAGGGCTGCAAATTTAGGCCTATGCTCGGCATTTACGGCCTTTGAGCAGGGAGGGATCTTTATCGTGCCACACCTGCTGTGACACGGGGCCTCGGTTTATACGGTCTCATCCGAAGGACCGCCCGATTTAGTCGCCTTTTACGACAAGCAAGGTGGTACTGAGGACCTATTCTAACCTGGATCCCCACGGGGCCTTCGATTGAAGAAAGTTTGAATGATGAAAGTATGACGTCAAATAAAAATATGCTGTTGACTTTAGACACAAAAGGATAGGTTTGTGGTATTGAGATTGCATAATATAAAATCGTTGTTTTTTTTCAAGTAAGTTGTTGATACCTTCAACGAGGCCGAGTCTAATTCGAGTTCACATGACTTTGCACAGCTTTTAAATTTCATGCAGTCATTTGTGTGACATTACACTATTGCCAAATATTTTGATCTTAATACAAAATAAATATTATTTATAACTCCTCCTGGTCTGAAATTATGATTTTGAGACAATAATGAGGGTGAAAACGCTGAAATGGCTTTAATGACGTCACCATTTCCGGATTTTGTAAGCAATGCTTGGCACTGAAATATGAAACATGACGCGCTTGTTTGTTTAAGACGTCCATGGATATTATACTAAAAACTGATAACAGAACATTCAAAGAAACATACCATCAATTTAAAAAATGCTATTTTTACCGAAAAAAATCATATGAGCCGATAATTCATCAGCACTGAGATGTATTTATATCGTATATGGCAATTTAATAGGTATTGAACTTTGAATAAATAAACTTAATAATAAATTCATAGACCAACCTAGATGGGGATCTTTAAATTTTGCAATTTTTTTTTACTTTTTACAATAACTTTTATCTACTTCAATGAAAAAGAAATCCCTTGGTCAAAAATACAACGTATATGGAAACCAAAAGTCTCTGTCGAGACTGAAGTTCTACTGGTTTGTATTTATAGCAAAGGAAGAGAAAAGTACTTTAGTAGTTAGGAATTGAAACTACAACAGCAATAAATAGAATAATGATCCTTGATAAAGTCTCTTTATGTTCTTAGTGTAGTCTACTTGTGTGCCAAGTAATATTGAAATCAGACCAAAACTGTAGGAGGAGTAGCATTTTGAAACAATTTTACAGACATTTCTATTTTTAGTAACCACGGCAACACCGTTCATCGAAATCTAAAAACGATATACAGAATTATGTATCATAGTGTAGTCTACTTGTGTGCCAAGTTATATGGAAATCAGACCAAAACTGTAGAAGGAGTAGCATTTTGAAAATATTTCACAGAATTTTTTATTTTTAATTACCATGGCAACATCGTTCATCGAAATAAAAAGCCGATAAATAGAATTTTGTATCATAGTGTAGTCTACTTGTGTGCCAAGTTATATAGAAATCAGACCAAAACTGTAGGAGGAGTAGCATTTTGAAAAATTGTTTACAGGGAGACGGACGCCGGACGCATTACTATTGCATAAGCTCTTCTGGTCTATTACCAGTAGAGCTAAAAATGTGATAATTCGGCGCTTTTCCAGCAACGCAGCACTGTTAAGGCCTAATGTGAGAAATTAAAAGAAAATAGACGTGCAAAAAGGGGGACCTTTTTAAAATTGAAATTTTTTAATTAAGCTGTTTTATTATCACAGAACTCATATACTTATGGAAATAGCATAGTATATCCCACTCTGTACTGTATGAAGTTTGGTCCCATCGATGGACAGTCACGTGATGAATGCATAGTTCGTGTACTCAGTGTAGGTCATGAACAAATTTCAATATCGCAAGGGCATACCCTAGTTGAAATTAAACTTTCAAGCTCTTTATTGTTTCTGCATACTTTGTAGTTTCTGAAAAGTGCTGCTGCTTTGAATAGAATTTGCGTTTCAATAGTTAAATTTTCAGGTAAATAAGCCAAAGCCGAAATATGTTTATGACTTTTACCAAATATTTTATATACAATGTACTTATAAAATCACGCCCTCGATCTCAAGAAAGCAGCAGCACTTTTCAAGTTAAGATTGATTGATTGTATATTGATTAACGCCGAGTCGGCAACTTTTCAGCCATATTTCGGCGGTTTCAAGTTAAGAAAAATACCCTTTATCTATATTCAAAAAATGGTTAAGATCTATTAAGTGTATGCCCTTGCGAAAGTACGATTTTATGAGGCATCTCATTGTAAAATATACGTAACCTGCACATAAAACACGACATAATTAATAAAAATACATTCTCTTGATAGTTAATGAATTATCGGACTAAACAAAGGATATATACATTGGTATTAATCGACTATTTAAAACCTGATAAATAATATTCCGTGTAATAATAAAACGCATTTTTCATTGTTAA